ATCCCCTCTGTTGGGTTTTCTTTCAGGAAAAAAATATCAGTTAGGGTAAATAAGCTCAGATTATTACGTTCAATACATTGTTAAATTGTTAATGAACTTCATTTGTCCTCACCCCAGGATCTTCACAGCATTGTGCGAATAAACGGAAATTGCGAAGAATCACCGTTACGTGCAACAGGTGGGATGTTTACTCTATTAATGATTGAAATCTAATAATGCTCACTCCGAAAGTACCAGTCAATATTCAATATGCCTCCGTTAATGCTGTCAGTATTCAGCACAAAATAAACGTGGACCATTAACAATGGACAGAAGTTACGTCGTTTCTCATCTGATGTAAATAAAATATACAGGGTGATCATAAAATACTGTAGTCAACTCACCTAATGAAAAACAGCTGAAATTTTTCTCGTGCCTCTAATCACCAAAAGATTTGAACTCTTTGAAATGCCAAGTTTGCGGTTTAATTTCATAACATTAGAGGTTGCAGTATTATCGAGCATCTGTGAACGCTACTGCAATACATTTGACCTTCAAAAATTGTAAATTATCAGAAAAGCGTTTAAGGGCTTTGTCATGACTTACACGTTGGAAAGTCGATTACACCTGGTCTGTTTTGCAAAGAAACAATAATTTTTCAAGTAATGAAATCCAAAAAGTGAGGTTACATTTTTGGGAACCAATGAAGGCGGTCATTAATTAAAAAATTGCATTTTTGTAGGCACTTTGAAGGTAAAAATTGTAAAAAATCACGTAATGGACAATGGCAAAGCATGTCTTACCACAATTAAAGAGCAGTGCCACTGTTTTAAAATGGCAATGAGTAGTTTTTGCATTAAATAATTTTGCCAAAGTTGTGATACCGCGAAAGTTCAGTTTCGTAAATTGTAAAGAATCGTCAAAACATTGTCCAGACGTGGTTTGTAACGGGTGCTTTTCTTTTGAAAAACACAACTGAAATCCTGGATCTTCGTCCCTACAATAGATGAAAACTGCCATGTCCAAGCTTCACCTTCAGCTTTGAAGTTTTTAGATATCTGAAACATGCCAAATCTGTGTAACAAGAATTTCAAAGAAATTCTAGTCAAAATACATCCACATGGCCATCTTAACAATAGGATTTTTCAAAATTTCTATAAGAAAAAGGTGAAAAAAACGATAAAATTTCAGGAGCATAGTGCTAAAAGTTCTGTAGATGATTACGAGACCTCTTGAAACAACAGAATATTTGATAAAGATTTTTAACCATTCTAATAGTAAAGTTACAATTATTACTAAACAGTAAGTTGAAGTTAGTTTTAAATTAAGAGAATGTAACTACCACAGAAAGAAAAACGAAAGTTACTGAAGACTGAAATAGTAATTTTTGCACTCATGACCTTTTTTGATAGCTTTCGCGCATTCACCAGAGTGCGGGAGGTCGAACTTCCCGCACACGTGCATTTAACTTCCCGTTGCCATGATAACCTTAAAATACTCGGGTAGTGTCAACATTGTGACGTGTTGACGGCGCTGTCAATGGCGTTGTTTATAAATAACTCACAGTTAATCTCTTCAGTTTAAAGGTTTATTCGTCGCAAAAAATATTGTACACAACACGTTCGTGAGCCTGCTTCCCGCATTCACGCAAATGCGGCACTCCCTTCGGTCGTGCCTCAAACAAGCGTTCATGCGGGAAGCAGGCTATCCCGAACTAGTTGCGTAAATTACTATTTTGCACTCATGACCTTTTTTGATAGCTTTCGCGCATTCACCAGAGTGCGGGAGGTCGAACTTCCCGCACACGTGCATTTAACTTCCCGTTGCCATGGTAACCTTAAAATACTCGGGTAGTGTCAACATTGTGACGTGTTGACGGCGCTGTCAATGGCGTTGTTTATAAATAACTCACAGTTAATCTCTTCAGTTTAAAGGTTTATTCGTCGCAAAAAATATTGTACACAACACGTTCGTGAGCCTGCTTCCCGCATTCACGCAAATGCGGCACTCCCTTCGGTCGTGCCTCAAACAAGCGTTCATGCGGGAAGCAGGCTATCCCGAACTAGTTGCGTAATAGTAATTTAGCAGGCTCACGAACGTGTTGTGTACAATATTTTTTGCGACGAATAAACCTTTAAACTGAAGAGATTAACTGTGAGTTATTTATAAACAACGCCATTGACAGCGCCGTCAACACGTCACAATGTTGACACTACCCGAGTATTTTAAGGTTACCATGGCAACGGGAAGTTAAATGCACGTGTGCGGGAAGTTCGACCTCCCGCACTCTGGTGAATGCGCGAAAGCTATCAAAAAAGGTCATGAGTGCAAAAACTTTATTGCAGCACCCACATACAATTTTTACATGAGTGAATCGTTTGGAAAGAGCTAACCATACACCAAACTTAATGGTTTCTTCAAAAGCGTGAGGCATTTCTGTACTTTAAATTCTGAAGTTCTGTGAGTTGACGTATCCTGACAGATGAAACCAGACTCCACCAGAAAAGAACGACAAATCGAGAATTCTGTTATCGTCCATATTAGCTTGAAGCCAACGATAATACAGGACGCGGCGAGGAAAATCTGCTTCTACGATTTTCTGACACGTATTGTATGGTACTCCAAACTGTAAACATATTTCTTCGGACTTTGGTCCATTCTCGTGCTTAAATGCTCAACATCTTCACCAACTTGAGGTCTCCCATCGGTGTTCCTTTAGAAACGCTACCAGTGTCGTTAAATCTGGCCACAATTCGCCGTATGTGCGTCTTCAAAGATTTTTCCTCGATGACAACAGGATATTTCACCAGATACTCGCCTTTACACGCATCCACAGAGTACGCCCAGTCCCCATCCTCATTTAACACTCCATTACGGCAATAGGACATGACGATGAACGTGCTTTGCTCCAAAGTATAACCCATCCTCATAGTGATTCCTATGTGTTCATCACCTGAGATTATTCCACAATGATCTGAAGTTTTGATAAAAACTGTTTTTTGAGACACATAAAGTTCGAACACAGGGGAAGACAGCAAATGAAAACAACAAGTCAATTAACGCACAAAGTGTGGGAAAACACACTAGTAATCAGTAAAAACGAAAAAATTATTGACATCCGACAGAATTTGATGAAGCGTTGGCGCCGAAACATTGCAACCACTAATGTGGCGTCAAAAAGAAAAAATCCAATATTACTGTAATCGTTTCCACAAAACGGTAAAAGACGGCACACAAAGTCATGGCCGTCCTTGACTACAATATTTTATAACGATCCTGTATAATGACGTGGGTATTCTCACATTTTTGAGAAAATGGGATAATTTGTTCTTAATTTGACCAATAAAAAAAAACGTGATGGCGTCATTATATTTTACGTTTCTGTTTTAAAAGTGTAGACTTTTTTTTATAACAAGAAACTTAATCATGTTTAAACTGGAAAATTTGTATAAGGAAACATCGATTTTGCAATTAGACTCCGCCCGATAAATGCAAAATTCATATTTCCTTGCAAAAATGTACCATTTTAACCTTGTTTTAAGTTTCTTGTTGTGAAAAGATGGCTATGTATATTAAAAAAAAAGGCAAAATATAAGCCCCGCCCACCCACCCTATCTCCATTGTGATGATTTTTTATTCGTCGTGAGCCAAGAAGGCAGAGCTTAACTGCAAAATCCTTATTTTTTTACGAGAAATTAAAAGCATGTTTTTGAGTATCGTCTTGTTCAAATAATACTATGTATATTAAGAAAAAAATAAAACCGAAGATTAAGCCCCACCCATACCCGCCCCGATCTCAATTCTCAATTGTGAATTTTTCATTCGTTGTCGGATCGAGAGGCGGGGCTTAATTGCAAGATCCATATGTGTCTACAAGAATTTACCATTTTAAACATGTTTTAAGTTTCTTGTTCTGAAAAAATAACTACGTGTATTAAGAAAAAAGGCAAATTATAAGCCCCACCCACCCGCCCTGTCTCAATTGTGATGATTTTTTTTATTCGTCGTGAGCCAAGAAGGCGGAGCTTAACTGCAAAATCCGTATTATTTCTCTACAAGAAATTACTATGTAAGACATAGCATAAATGAGAAGTAGTCACAGCGCATTACCAGTGTAAGAAAAAAAAAAGAAAGGGCCTAGTTCGGCATCAAACCCACGACGACAGGTCGCCGGTTCACCGAGAAAGCCACTAGACTTATATGTATTCTGTGTTGATAATATAACGTTATTATACCTTGAAATTATAATTTGAATGTTTAGCGAAAAAACTGAAAAGGAATTCGTAGAGTACAAATATAGGAGCACATTTTTGTATAACATCCAAATTATTTTAAAATATGGTTCATTGAGATGACGTCATCAAATTGCCTGTGGGGATAACTAGCCAAATTTTGGTTAGCCTTAACAATCTACATATTTTACATACAAAATTTTTCAACAATTGGTTCAGCAATTTCGGAGATTATGTGTCTAATAAAAATGGATAGAGACACCAGACAGACAAACGGAAACGGGAGCCTACTTTTTTCGTACTGTAGGGATCATGAAAGTGACATAAAAGTCACAATTCGCCCGATGGATAGAGACACCAGACAGACAAACGGAAACGGGAGCCTACTTTTTTCGTACTGTAGGGATCATGAAAGTGACATAAAAGTCACAATTCGCCCGATGGACTGGATTACTCTAGTTCCTTAGTTTACACTCGGGAAGTAAAAATAACTATAGCATATGAAAAACGAATTGGCTTTTTGCGAAAAATTGATCCCAAGGAACGTTTTAGAAAATAAGCAACACAGTTAGCTGAGCGGGATTATAATAATATAATTTCACGATATTTACTTGGTTAAATAGTTAATTTCAATGGTGCAAGAAATACGATGCGGCTACATTACACACAAAGATTAATAGTGCATAAATGTAAAAAAAATAGATATCCAAATGCTGAAAAAAATTAAATTTGATTTGACTTAAGAAAAATAATAATTAGCGACTTTAAATAATTCATTTTATTTCACTTTTAATTATAATTATTGAAAGCAGCAATCAACGAGTAACTTGTTTTTAAAACCTAAAAAATAAATATTCAATTGAAAAATTAACACCATGCAAGATACTCACTGATACGAATGTTTTCACTGTAACATCCACCACTTTTCCAGCGGTAATAAGCAGTGGCCGTTTAGACCGTTCCATTACTATTAGTAAATGTTTTCGAATTTCAGTGTCATATTTATACCAGGGTCCCATATAAATTTCTTTGATTAAGCCATTGTTCTAGAAATGCAAATCTAACTTAAAATATATTTACCTTATATACGTACTTACCTCCTCGAATAGTAGTGTACCATAGTGGCAGTGAAAATATATTTGAATACTAACACTAAATATTGCCCCAGTATATGTAAAAGCTTCTATACTGTTTAAGGGAACCTAAAAAAAAATTTAAAGTGTCTAAAATTCAAATGCAAACAACGTTATAACTAACAAGAGTTAAGCAAATGCAACAAAAACATATAGCAAGCATACTTCCAGCAAACTGACAGAATATGCTCCAAGAGAAACATTCTTCATATTCGTGTATAAACCTGCAATTTTTAAGATAAAATTATAATGTATACGCACAAATACAAAAATAATATTATTTATATTTAATTAGTGACTTCACTTTAGCGTTTTGTATTTACCACAAAATATTATTGTGGTGCTCAATACAACTTCTCAGATGTTTGTGGACCGAATGGAATTGTATAATATGTTCATTACTTTTGCTTGAGTTATGTTCTAGATGCTTGTCAAGATGCTTTAAATTATATTTCAAAATCTTTAGCTGGGCTGTGGCATGATATGTCAAACCAGCAATCAATGGATCCATGATTGTGCCGCAATATCCATCATATGCAATTGCTAAAAATGAAAGTGCCGGTTCCGGTATATGTACTGAATTTTTCATACCTGCAGCCATGTAAACCAAAGTAAAATAGTAGTTCACAGTGGTAGATGAGGGATCATACGGTAGCCATAAGTGTAAAGGGAGCTGTCGTCCTTTAATAAAAAACACAGGAAAATACCAAACAATCATTACCAATAACATCCCGTAAAAATACACAATGGAATTTCTGCGACACACCCAGATGCACTCATCTATAATTTGTTTCTCGTGATCGGTTTTCGGTGCGAAATTTTTCTTTCCGAAAAAATTAATACACTTCTTAATTTTTTCACTGTTTTGAAGAAATGGCAGAAGCTTAAAACAGAATGAAGCAGAATCGGACGCATATGTTAACATCGCATTGGTTTCCATGTTGCTCGAGCTTCCGTCCATTAGAATTTTCGTAATTATTAATATTATAGTCATCACTAACAACACCAAATATAATGTGTAAGCTCGTACTCTCAAAAATATCGTACTCTTTCCATAGGAATACAACCCCATAATGTTTAGCACTTTCAAGTTTAAACCGAAACTTTTTTGTATTATGTTCACCATGTCAGTTTACTGTTTCAGAATAAGAAACGAAGTTGAAATGAGAAGCTCTTGTTCAGTTGTTATTTTTATATATAAGTTTCTAGAAATTTTTCTGAAGAAATTCCACCCCTTTTAGCCAGTCGTGCAATTACATTCAGTATAATTTTACATCATGGCTTTGTGAATATGCGATGAACTTGATTTGTTAAAGGTTCAATAACAAAATGATTAAAAAATTCTTGTATTTGCTTCCGACTTTCCGTCAATAACTGTATTCTTTCATTTTTTATTCATGAAAGCCTTTGATAAAGGAGTTGCATGACTCTCGGGATGAAGTTATTGATTTTACTCTATTAATTATGTAACGAATTAACGCATGAACTTTAAAATTATAAAGCATTACAAAAGAGGGAAATTAACTTCGTATCGAACTGTGTGTTAAAATATTAATGTCATGTAACAACTCAACAAAAATTATTTTGAAGGCAGGAGATATAACAAATAAATACGTCACGTTTGTCATAAATTGCCGATTTTTTAATAATTCCGTACAATGTAGGTCAGGATTAATGTGGGACAAGATACGATAACAAGATTCTAAGTGCAGTGAGCAAATGTTTCAAATGTACATATAGTAACACATGTAATTATTTTTTTATAAATTCAAATCTTAATACAGTTTGTGTAAGATATATTTATGAAATGTTGTTCGACTTGTGTCTGTTACAATTTTCCTTGTTAAAATTTTTAGTTTTCATCTGAATTTCGGTTAAAGAGTTTTCAGTTTTGTGACGTCTAAACAACAAAGTTCTTTGAAGAAAAAAAATCAGTTACGTGTTAAACACACGTAAGTTATGTTCAATACATTGTTAAGTTGTTAAATGAACTTTGTTTGTCGTCACCGCAAAGATCCTTCAGAGCATTGTGTGAATAAACGAGAATAAGATTGCGAAGAATCACCGTTACGTGCAACAGGTGGGCTGTTTACTTTGTTAATAATTGAAATCGAAAAATGACCAATCCGAAAGTGCCAGTCAACATTCAATTTGCCTCCGTAAATGCTGCCAGTATTCTGCTCAAGATGATTTTTGGAGTGAACGTGGACCTAAAGAATCGACAAATTTAGGTCGTTTTTCAGAGTTCGGTTTCCGGAAGAAAATATATATAAATCAAAAATTTTTCAACTTGGGACGTTAAGGTGAGCTATATAGTTAATTGCAAACGAAGATAGCGATGAGGACGTCGAGTCAAGAAGAATTTGTCAAAATAAAATTGGTAGCAGTCGATGAACTGGTACCCTGTCAAATAAAATCGTATATGCTGAAATTTTTATTCGCATTTGGGGATCTTGTGGATTCGTTACGTAATTTAACTTGAGATTTAGACCTTGCAAAAAAAAATCATTAAGCAAGTTAGCAAGGATTTTCATGCAAGGAGTTCAAAGGACTAAAACTGGAACCACTTGAGGAGTCATATCTTAGATGAATTTTCATCTAATGTAAATAGTATATGTATATAAATGTGTTTGTCTTGACTGACAGACTGATTCATCAACGCAGAACCTAAACTACTGAAGCTACAAACATGAAATCTGATCAATAGGTTCTTTTTGTAATGGAAGCAGTCACTAAGAAAGGATTTTTGGAAATTTAGGAGCGGATAAAATAGGGGATGAAAATTTGTATGGGAATACTATCAGGGTATCAGTGTATCAGAGTAGGGGAAGGAAGTGAATATTTATATTAACATCTATTCTAGTATTCTATAAGCTGACACATTACAATTCTAGTCTTTCAAAAAATTTTCACTGGAGAACCATATCTGTGGCTTAATTTTTGTTAAATTTATTAAAGATCATATTAACTAAAAAAAGTCTAGGCTATTAGCAGACCATTAAAACTTGGGAACTATGCTTTGCTACTAATTCCCCATTATATAAAGAAAAATTGTAACATACTTCGATGTGTTAATGTAAAGTACCGAATGACTTAATGTTGTTAATTTTTTTGTCAAGTTGCTAACCTATTTAAAATTTTATGATGGCATGTCCGATCGTTAAAGTATGTATGACAGCTACCATTGCCTCAACCAATCAACACGTTTATTTGGCGTGTTCCTGTCAAAATTGACAACTGTGACTTGACGTATGTACTAGCATGGATATCAATAGTTCAAAACCACCACAAAAATGTGCTTAAATCATTAATGGTCACTTGGTAGTTTTTAGAAAATTAGAATCTTTAATAAGTACCAAAAAGTGCAAATAGTGAATTTTTCAGTGTAATTAAATTGTCAACGTTAGATGTCACTAGTTAATTTTTATGTTGTGTGAAGTGTTAGATTTAAAGTAAAAAAAGTATAACCTGCTAAGAGATGGTTGATTTTTCAAGCAATAATAAAGTCCTTAAATCCCGAAGTTTAGACATCAATAGAGAGCGGATTTCTAGGTTTAATGCTTTTTGTGAAAAATGTAAGCACTTCAAAACTTTTTTATATCTGTAACTATGATACAATTTGGAGTCATTTGACACATTTTTTTTTAGGCTTATTTGCTTTTTTTTTCAATTTTATGCATATTAAAACTTATATGCTTATTTAATGCTTTTTGTTAGTTAGCCGTATCGTATCGTATGCATTTTACCTGGACTTGACCATTGAAGTACACTTACTCAAGACCCTTTCTGTGAATAGGTTCCGGTCGTTTGGGTAATAAAATTTTATTATAGGATTGGAAAAATACGCCATAGATTTTATGACTTTAAATCCTTACTTCCGTTGATAATGAATTAAAGCTTTTAACCAGATGTTCTTTTTCGGCATTTTGCGGCAAGAGCGTTGAAGATTTTCTAGAAAAAAGGATTATTGTACCCAACTACCTACCTTAAAATTTTTCTAATGGAAACTTTTAAGTAAATGAACCGTTTGTTTCACAACCATCAGTCTATCGCATCTGTCGTTGTACAGTGTTATACGTGGTTCTCCCTTGTTACATGTTGAGTTCTTTTTGGTAATATTACTAATATTTTAAAAGAATGCCGAAAGTAAAATCGACGCCGGATGTGTGGATAAGGGATATTCCAGAATTAAAATTAGAAAACAACAAAATATTCTGCAGAGCTTGTGTGAAAACCGTGAGCCCACTAATTTGTTTTTTCTATTTTCCTTTGTTAATCCTGTATATGTATGTTGTTTTAGATTCAAAGTGATAAAAAATATAACGTGACGCAACATGTCAGAACGACTCTTCATGTAGAAAGGAAGAAAATGTTTGAAGTTTATAAAATTAAACAGCAGACCATACATGAATCTGTTGCATCTATTTCCACAAAAGATGAGCAGTTTCAGTTTAATTTCGATTTATGTAAAATGATGATCCAGTCCAATATACCTTTATAAAAACTGGAGAAAGGCCCTCTTCAAGAATTTCTTGAAAAACACTGCAATCGACATATTCCGGTTGAAAGTACTCTCCGAAAAAATTATGTAGGCCCAGTGTTTCAGCAAATTTACAACGAAATTAAACATCGTATTGGAAATAATTATTTATGGTTCGCTATCGATGAAACAACCGATAGTAATAATAATATAATAATACTTTATTTCCATAGACTACATACAGTGTGGAAAATCGTCAGAACATGAAAGACAATTAGATAAATATATATAGACATTTGCTACACAAAATCTTTTACACAGTATAAACATCTAGTAACAAGATAATCTCTTAATCTGTGCCTAAAGGCGTCAATAAATAAAAGATTTTTTATTTCGTTGGGTAAGTTATTATACAAGTCAAGTCCTAAAGAACAAAGTGAATTTTTTGTAACGTTCAATTTTTTTGTAGGAACGTAGAATAAGTTCTTTTGTCTAGTGTTTTTGTCGTGGACTTCACTATTTTTAACAATTTTTTTTTATTCTTATATACGTACATACAACATTCAAAAACATACAAGGACGGTACAGTCATTAAATTATATTTTTTGAAAAGTTCGAGGCATGAGTGCCTTTGAGAAACATTTAGAATTGTACGCAAAATTCTTTTTTGTATAACAAAGACATCTTGTGCAGATGGAGACATACCCCAAAAACAGATTCCATATCTTAAACGGGACTCTACTTGTCCATAGTAAATCATTAACAAGTGGTTCAAATCTAACAAAGACCTAACATTTCTAATCAAACAGTATACTTTTGAAAGCTGACCGATAAGTCGATTGCAATGTAATGTCCAATTCAGTTTATCATCTAAAGTTAGTCGTAAGAATTTTACAGTATTTGTTTTATCTAAAATCGTATTATTAAGCATTATTCTTACGTCATTTATGTCAGCTTTTACATTATGTTAATGGAATCTGAGATATTTGGGATTTGTTTCATTTAAATACAGGCTATTGGAGTTAAAATAGTTGCAGGGTCGGCTCAACACGGTAAGCGAAAGATGCACCGCATCGGGGCGCCCATGATAAGGGGCGCCGGGCGGCGGGCGCCGCCGATGCTTTTATATTAACTCTATAAAAATAAATTAATATTAGATTTGCATTGAATCACTACCAAGAAATTATTATAGCAGTAACAGGCCAAGGCGCCCATCAAAAACTTTTCAGAAAAAGCTACATTTTAACATTCCACTATGACCACCAAAACAGATCCCAAGAAGTCAATTCCTGGCACTTTCAAACTAATTCAAATTGTAATAATTGAAAAAGAGTGCGCCTTTGGGTTGGGTGATGGGACCGTTAGATCAATACTGACAAAAATTAACAAGATTTATGATGCATTATCTGGGTAACAATTTGACGAGACAGCGGTATGACCACAACCAGATGTTTTTCCTAACATTTGTTAAGTAAAAGTCC